TTTAGATGCTGCTGAGCAGAATTGTGCTGGTATTTTTTTTTTTTTAATAGCAATGTTTTATTACAGGGAATCAGTTTTGCTTGAAATGTTCTTTGTTTACTAAATCGTTATTTTTTTCTGTAAGTTACCATTTCAAAATTAAAAATTATTTTTTAATAAATAGCTGATAATGACGATGAAGAATATTCAAAAGGTAATTAGGCATAATATTTATATTAGGTGTAATATTGTATTAATGAATATAATAACTGTTTTAATATAATTTTATAATTGTTTATCAATTCAAGCAACTGGCATTGTTAAGATTTATTTTAATTTATTTTTATTTAGACCTCGAAGTACTCAAGCAATTGCGTATGTGCCTATCTACCTTTTTTTTGGTTCTTCATTTTAAAATTTTGAAACTAAACTAATACTTATATATCTCCAAATTTTATCTATTTCTGTTTTTTATTCAAATGTAACAGTAATCTATTCAGTAATTACAGTAAATGTAACAGTAATCCTTTCAGTAATTATAGTAAATGTAACAGTAATTGTAAATGTTGTATGTGATTAGTTATTTAAGTACCTAGAAATTACATTTTTTTATGTATCTAGGAGTGGAAGAAGATGAAATCGGTAAGAGTTACAATTGTAACATAATGATTAATTAGAACATTAATTGTTTATTTTAGCGTACAATGTTTATATATAAATGATTATATAATGTATTATTATATATTCATAATAATATATAATAATACAAGATAGCCATCATAGTGGGCGATATTTTTATGTAGTCAGAAAGTCTGTGAATTAAATTAATGGTAAAGATTGGTAAAATGTGTAAAAGTAAAAGTTAATTTGTAGAAATTGGCATGCAATCTTGTTGCATTGAGACATAACATGTATTAAGACATATATATATATATATATATATATATATATATATATATATATATATATATATATATATATATATATATATATATATATATATATATATATATATAGACACACACGCACGCGCGCGCGAAATTAACATAACTTCTTTACAATCAAAAGTCTGGCCACTTTTATACTAAACTATTAACAAAAAACTCATATTAAATATTTAGCTTTGAAAGAATTACAAGCAAGAAAAGGTAGGTTATTTATTATTTTTCAATTTAATAATTTGTGACATTATCTTGTTCATTTTGCAATAGACCTATTAATTTCAGAAACATTTTTTTTTAGAATCAATAAAAAAGAAGATTGGTATTTGTTATTTCTTTTCTGATAAACAAAATTCATAACTGCTAACAGGGCCCGGTGTATAGGGGGGTGTAACATCTGTCACAGAATACAGAATCACTGTATTCTGTATTGGTCCAAGTAACAATTATGAATTTGGCATAAACTTGATTTACTTAATAATGTTCACTAACACTCAAATTACATCATTTCTAAAAATTTTAAGCTATTTTATATTGCAACTAGCTTGAATTATTATTATTTTTTTTTTTTAGCAAAAAGAAAAGCGATTCTTGGTAATTAAAATTGTGATAAGTTTATTTATAATTTAAAAATTGTTTGCTGAAAGTGTACTAAATATTTTGTTGGTTTGAGTAATATTCAGTAACTTCTTAGTAATGGGCAACCTTTAAATATATCTCTTAAGTAATTCGTTTAACTTTAAAAACTTACTTTAAACATTTTTGGATTTAGGTGGGGCCGAGAAGATGTTGGTTGCGGATGTTGCAGGTATTTTAAGTTTTAAAACTAGAAATATTTTATTTCTAATCTTGACTCATCTTGTCAGCCGAGAAACAAGAAGCCGTATGTCCGTGTGCGCAATGTCCGTGTTTTTCTAGTCTATTATCAATAAATACTCAACAATCAATGAGTTGGGTTTCCACTAATTCTCGTCTCAAGAATAATAAAATTTTAAGAAATATTTGAATAAGTAGTCGGACTTCGTGGCATAAAGTCGTTCTAACCTTAAAATTTAAAACTAGATTTTCTCGGAAACAAAAAATAGACATTCGAGGATTCTCGGCTGACGATTTGTTAACGTTTTTGAAATGTTTTTTTCACAGCTTAGCGAAAACTTTGTGAGCAATTATACTTAATAATATATACTCCATATCGTTTAGATGTAAAATTTGTATTCTTTTTTTAGAACCTTCAAAAGATATTGAAATAAAAAGTATATTTCTTTGATTAGAGCGTTTTATATTGTTTTCCTTTTTTACACAAAATGATTTTATTTAACATATTATAGATTTAACTCGCCAAGATTTTCATGAATATCGGCTGGCTCACCCCGGGCCCAAATCGAAGGCCGCTTACAGAGTATGGGCACAAAATGGGGCAGACCGGCCTGATTTTAAGCCTTACTCGCGTCGTGGACGCGGTCGAGGTCGTGGTGGAAGCACCGTCGTAAACCACTTTAAATACTCTTTTTAGGTGTATTTAAAGTGGTTGTATATATTTTCTTTATTTTCTCTATTTTGTTATTGTTTGTATATATTTGTTATATTTAGTATATATTGGAATATTTATTTAAGAAAGTATTTCAGTTTTTAAATTCGCTTTTTTCTACAACCGTGATACATATTTTAGTATTAAAGAATCTAAACAGCTTAAATTTTTGTTATTGTTTGTATATATTTGTTACATTTAGTATATATTGGAGTATTTATTTAAGAAAATATATTGAAGTTTTTAAATTCGCTTTTTTCTTCAACCGTAATACATATTTTAGTATTAAAGAATCTAAACAGCTTAAAATTACATTACAGAAGACAGCAAGTTTATTTTACAGTAGTTGAAAATGGTGTCCTTCCGTGACAATTGTATTACTTTTTGATAAAGTTATAGCAACCGTGGCGCCGTGATTAGAGCAAATGACTCGTAACCCAGGGCGTTGCAAGCTCGATCGCCGCTCAAAGCACAAACGTTATCGGCAAGGTTGGAAACGGAGAATCAACTTATTAAATGCTATTCTCTTTGTGGCAGTGCTCTGAGCCAAGGCCATTAGGACTTCTTAAAGCACCTAAAAAAAAAAAATAAGTTGCTTTTACAGTTGTATAACTTTAATATATGGTAGGATTTTTTGTTCTTTTTCAGGCCATAACTAAATTAAATAATACGGGAAAGCATGGTTCTTAAAGACAGAAGGAATATTTGTTTACACTGAACGAAATTGATAATGAGAAATTGTTCTAAACATCAGGGCCGAAGCTAGTTTCAAAGACCTATAACAGAAAATTTATACCTCTGCAATTAATATCTTTTAAGGCGCCATCCATAAAACACGTACACAGTTAAACCTGTGTTTTAGAAGCCTTATCTCCCCTTGTACGAACCTGTACAAGGGGAGAGCTTTTGAAGACCCCTCTGCAAGCAATTTTTTTCTAAGTAATGTACAAAACGGTAATTAAAAAAAAAGAATTCAAAAAAAGTTTGCTTTTCATTGACGTCTTTTTGCTTCACACTAATCAAATTATATTGCGAAAAAAAAAAGAAGTTATTTGGAAACATCATCTCTCATTTTCTTTTTTCTATTCTCATTTTTATAAAAATTTAAAAAACATAAACTACTGATATGTTACACACGTGAAATTTAATGTTTTAGGAAAAAATCAAGTGTAGAAGAGGTAGGCAAACCGCGTACATACTTATGTCTATAAGCCTTCTATCCCGTTGTGAGCACTCGTACGCTTTTAGGATACCATTCCTGCGTACATACTTTACGGAGGGCCTCTAACCCAAATTACTCATGTTTCAAAGGTAGTTACGATAACCATCTGAGGTTTTTATATATATACAATTGAGTGTATCAATTTCCTTCCGTGACAAAAAAATTACTTTTCAACCCTGCCCAAAATAGTACTCAAGTACATTGTAATAGTACTCAAGAGTTCTTATCCATGATACGTAAATTACGTTACCGACATTTTGATGTTAAGAATGCTCGATTCCAGCAATACCTATCAAAACTGTTCTAAAACAATTATTTGACTTGTTTTATAACCACCACTCCCATACCTACCTACGTATTCAATAGAAGACCCTAAATTGATTAAAAATAACAGACTATAATAAGTTGAAATCAATTTAGGCCTTAGTAGAACATCTGAAAACTAGTTCCACTTACTAATTCTTTTTGTAAAACAAATTAGTAAGTAGAGGTTTTAGTAGTTTTAACTTTCTAACACGGTAATTAGTCGACGACAAGGGACACTTAAACCATTACCGACGATACAATGATACAGTATAAAGGGAATCGGAAATAAACTGAAAATGTGCATAGAAATATATATATTCACACACACACACACACACGCACGCACGCACACATTTAATAAGGGGCCTACGGTTTAAATAAGTGTTACTTTAAATGTGCCAATCACAGGTAAAAATATTAAGGTAAAAAACTCTATTACAAGCTTTGATTTATTACGTTACTACAAAATACATTTAATTAAAAACTAAAAGATACTTTAAAGTTAAAACTCATTGGAAAAAATTTCACAATTAGCTATTGCGTTTATGCGTCGCTTCTTGATTAAAAAAATAATAAATTTGTTTTCAATCTTATATTACAATCATTGCAAACCCATTTTACTCTCATTTTTATTAATACTACAGTATATGCTATGATATATTTAAGCTCTAAATCCCTAACGGCTTACACCACAAAAAGACTATACATATTAAGTATGCCGATATCAAATAAGGTATAAGCAGTTTTATGTCAATATTTAAAGCACCATGACACAAACATACCAATTAGGGCAGTTTATACCAGTATCAAAGTAGCCGTATATATGTGCTTGATTTGAAAAATACCTGCTGCTTAAATGGTATAAACGTCTATGTCTATAATAAAGCCATAAACACTATAAAATCATAGGTACCACTATAAGTAAAAATAAGAAACAAATAAAATGGGTTATTAAAATAGTATTGTGTAAAAAATGCAACGTAAGATGATTATCAGCGAGAGACACATGCTAAGAAACAAGAGGTCGTATGTTCATTATGTTTCCGAGAAAATTGAGTATTCAAATTAAATATATATTGATAATAAATTGGAAAAACATAAATGTGGACTTATGACCTCTTGGTTATCGACTGAAAAACAGTTAAATAATTTAATCTAAAATTGTTACTTCTAAACTAATAGCAGATTATAAAAATGCTAAAGTTCTATCAATAGCGTAAATACAGCATAGCAAACGTTTTTACACGGCGTTCCGGATGTCCATTTTTTTTATTCACACACATATCATGTAATTCTTTGCGAGGATACCAGTTTAAGTAAGCAGCGGGTACCTTTAAAAACAATTTTTGTAAATAGTAACATTTAATATATAAACAATTTTATAGACCAACATGAAGGCCAGGGGTGATTCTACCAATGAAATAAGGGGATATTTAAATTTTGCCGACTGCCTGTCCAAAAAAAATAACAATAAATAAAGGTCCTCAAAACTCCGAATTTAACGAATAGTTGACTTCCCAAAATTCCCAAAAAACCGACTGTAACTTAAAAATTTCCTTCGTAGAGAGAGAGAGAGGGAGAGAGGGGGGAGACCCCGTAAAATCGCCCCTCAGGCCAACAACACTTCCAAATGATATCTGATGTTTCTTCTCTATTATATGCGATATCTATAATATCACATTATTGAAGAAACTTAGGTAAAAAGGAATAATTTTACAAAATTTTTCGTTATAACAATCACTTGAAAATAAAACATCAATAGTTAATCTAATTTACCTGCTATAGAATATTGGGTAGGATTTGCAAATTTTACTTTTTCAAGTAAAATTGGTTTTGTGCAATACCATTGTTGGTACTACTTTATCAGCAACGCATTTAACGCATAGAAATTTGTAGGTATGTTGCATAGTAGGCTCTTTTTGAGAAGTGTGTACATAACAAATAAATAAAATGTATATAAAACAAGATTACAAATGACAAAATTACGGTTATTTATTGTTTATAACCACTCTATCCATTCTTATTAAGTTGAATTTTTTATTAATGTTAGTATAGACTGGTTAAGTTTAAAATTGAACAATTTTATTGAATTTTCTAATATTGAACAAATGTAAATGATATTTGAAAGTGAAACGTAACTGTACAGCAGTTGTAGTTAGTAATAAAAAAAAATTATTTACTTGTGCTGTAGAACAGTATTATAAAAATTTTCCCTACTAATATTTTGATCGGTTCTGGCAATCATGACAAATCCAAATTTCGTCTTCCTTTTCATAGGCACTTGGTGGAATTTGTTCACAATCACGATGAAACCATTTACTACAAACACAGCATTGTGCCATTTGCCTTAAAAAATTAAATACATTTCCATCTACAACATAAAAAACTCAAGATATCAATTGAAACATTGCATTTGTAAATGTTTATTTATGAACTAAACTCATTAGTAATTGTGAAAATATACCTGTTAAATATGTCTTCGTCTCCAGGTATCCAAAACATGCGACATGAGCAATGCAGTGGAACGCGAAAAGTCTTAGCATTACATCTTTTAAACAAAAAAGGATTTTTAGTGGCTGGAAATATCTCCATCCTGTTGTTTGATATACATTTCAGGAGATGACTTCTCATTTCACTTTGATCAAACATCAGATTTGTTGATGGTATACTTTTTGTTTCAAGAATCTGACGAGCCCATGCAATGGCATAAATTCCACAATCCACACCATTTGTTTGCTGTTGAACTGGCAAAACTTTGAAAATAAGATTTTTTTGTTGACAATGTAAAATGGAGCATATTTGCCTTTTTATCTGCAAGCTGATGGAACCATGGAAAAGGCTGTCAAATATATATATCTCCCCTGGTTTGCAATCATATGTGGTCACACATAGCCAGTGAAGATTTCCATCATGAAGAATTTGGACAAATGGCGTGCTTGGATAGATATGGAAAGATAACACTTGTCCTTTAATAGGATCTTGCAGACCAACATCAATATTTAACTGAAGTGACATAAGTTGCTGGCAAAAATGAATCACCTTATCATTAAGCATCTGCCCGTTTGAAATGTCATACTGTTCTCTACTTCCAATCAATGAAGACTTTAGACTTTGAATGGTTTCTAGTTTATCATCTTTGATTATGTCGGCGCCATGCAAGTGATTACTATCATCGGTTGAAAGGTATTTATTTCAGTTGCATTATTAGAAACAGTAAAAGTATCACAATTGTCAAAATCAATCAAATCATTTGTGACAATCTCAGAAAATGTAGTATCATTTTTAGCTATTACACTAATGTCTGTGGCTGTTTTACAAATGTCGTATTTAACTCCAACTCTTTTAGTCATTTTTCTTTTGCGGCGTATAGGGAGATGGCTAAGCTTAGGTGTATTAGTTAGTGACCTACTCCAAGTATCAGGTTGAATCTCAGGGCGCAGCAGAATTCCTCTTTCTGTTGGAAGACTGTCTGCTAAACTTTTTTTAAGTTGACATAGCCCTTCCAACAAATTATCAATCGCTTGTTGCGATTGACATAAATAACTCATTTGTCTAATTTCACCTAAAAGCTCACGACAAGTTGCAGATGTATGGTTCTCACCAATAAGATTATAACTACTATTTACTTGTGAGCAATGAATACTTTTTGTTTCCATTACATTCTGTTTAGAAAGTGGAGATATAGGCAAGTCAGTAAATGTTGTTGTATGCCCAAAATGAATATCTTGTAACAAAATGTCATTGGATTGTGCTAAAATAATTTCATCTGACAATAAATCCAGCATGAAATAAGGAGAATTTGCATAGGATGTTCCAAATGCAGACCATGTGAGATTATCTTTAATAAAAATGGCAAAGAAATGCTTACAAGGATATAAGCTGCGAAACCAATTAGGACATGAACAAGTTGGCAAGTGTTCTGAATCGCCAAGGTAACATTGGTATATTTCTCGACTATTTGAATTGAAAGAAGCAACGTTGTATAATTTGTCTGTCATAGCACTAATGCCCCGCAAATCTACACCTTGTAATTTATCTATTAATTTCATACAATGCTTAACTAAAGATGGTGGCCGATTAATCAAATAAGCTGGAATTTCATCATGGTATTTCTTATATGAGGCATGTGCTCTTCTATTATCATCACAATAACTAAAAATAAATCAATTGAAATGTAGATAATCTACAAATCCTTTTATTAGTGACATTTAGACAACCTTCAGGCATTAAAGAAAATATGTTTGTTTGTAAGTTATTATTTTTAAAGTTTTATTTACCAGGTAAATGGACAAACATACAGTACTGAAGTCAGATTCTATTCACCATGTTTTTAAAATTTGTTTATGTGAAACAATTTATTACTGCTAGATATATTATATAAAAATTATGTAGTCAAAGTGATAAATTTTCAACATTTTTGTAATAAATTCAAATTCATCAACAGATTTATAATTTAACAATCTTTTATTGCAAGAAAGTTATGAAAATGCTTTCAAAAAATTATATGTTTTTAATATTTAAATATTCGAATTAAAAACCTAGGAAATTAGTTTTATAATAGGTAAACAGAATGAGCTAAAATAAAATTTCACAATAGAAACCATCGGAGGAAATATTGTTAGAATAACAATAATGTCTTAAAAAATAAAATAAAAGTTATTTGTACTGAAAAAACAAAAAGTAGTTAATGTATAAACTAACTTGTCATATTTGTGCGGAAGAAATTCTTCTATACAAATACTGAGCATAGCTGTTAGTGAAGAATTCTTTCTTTTTTCCAAAAAACTGTATTTGAAAGATTGATTCTGTCTTTCAGTTCCATTATTGGTGTTGACATTCAGCAGAATTCGATCTAGTCTATAAGCAAATACCCATCTCTGAAATCGAAAAAATGTTTGTAAACACTTCAGTAATATAAATAAAAAAATAAAGTTATACCCAAATTTTTGGGTATTACCTTAAAAAGGTAATACCCAAAAATTACAATAGAAAAATTTTTTCAATAACGTTACATCAACTTTTTTGAGTATAAATTTTTTTTTGTTTTTGTTATTTAAAAACAACCTTTTGAATACATAACCAAGTACTTTTCAAATATTCTACAAGTTTTGGGTTATTTTGCCATTCTAGTGATTCCTCTAAATTCTCAACAGCTTTTTGGCAACCCTCTACTGTTTTCGCATGTGCAATGTCACGAAGCCTAACTTTAATGTCATCCTTTATCATGCTACACCCATTAGTTGTTTTAGACAGCCATCGTTCCCATGCTTGTTCGCGATGAAAATCACAAATAAACACTTTACAGCCTAAGACAAATTACCATATTTAAACTATATAAACAATTACAAATTACAAACAATGGCGATAAATCATTTCAAAATACTTAATTTAAAAAGAGAGTTTATCGTAATTAAATTACAAAAATTCATTTGCTACCACTGTATATATTTCTTCAAGGCTATAACGCTTATAAGCTTACAAAGACTTCGATTTTTAAAAAAAGATGCTGAAAGTTTTAAATGAATGAAAACCATTTAATGTTTTCTGTGATACAAAGCAAAATCTGTATTCATGCATTGAGTCTATATATGTGTATTATAATAGAATAACTTTATTTTTCTTTTTGGCAAGAAACAGGCTTGAAACAAGCTTTTCATATGTCTTGCTTACAAGTATGTCTTGTAAGCAAGACACACACCTGTTTTTTTTAAGTATTGAAATATTCTTATATTTTTTTTTTATTTTTTTTATATTTCTTTATATTTTAATTTCTTATATTTTTACATGCTTAGGCTTAAACATGTTTATGAGCCTCTTAAATCTTTTAACTTAAGCATACCCAAGCTTGTTTCAAAAAAATCATATATATTATATATATATAAAAAAGGTAACTAACAATTACAATTATAACCTGGAAACACAGATTCAAGTGAATTTATTTCTTCATTTGAATAATCAGTACAAAAGAACTTTGGCTGGAATGAAGGATTCCATTCTTTGATGCACATAAGTGCTTCTGTTATGGCTTCAGTGGTCTCATGCTCACACACAAAAATAGCCACAATTTGGTAATCAATGTTAGTTTTAACAACAAGGAAAAAGAGAGGCAGTGCATATCTTGTTGTTCGGTATGTAGCATCAAGGAAGGCAAGCTCGTTACCATATCGAAGCAGTAGTTTCTTTTGCCATATATCTTGATATATAAACAACAATGAATTTTTAAGATCTA